GACAAATGAACCCATATTTACAGACCAAGTGTGGCAGAAAGAAAAGCTCAGCGTGTCTCTCTTCATCAGCAAGACTACGCAAAAACTAGCAAGTAGAGTTTCACACATTTCTGGTCCTCAAATGCAGCAACACAGCCTGATGTTTAGACCTCAAAGTGGGAAACTCAGAGCTGTACGTTAGCACACTTTTTGCAGGGGGAAAAAAAACATCTTTGTTTGTTAAGTGCACCTGCCACCTGCCTATGCAATTTTAACAAGAGACTAAATAAGTGTGATGAGTTTACTTCAGTTCACTGCACAGTCACCCACGTGGATATGTGTCACCCGTGGACGCTCTGCTCCAACAGCGGGACAAAGACGTTTGGGTCAGAAACCCCCGTGAAGCACAACAACAGTCAGGACATCTGCACGCGGCTTCAAATTGAGCTGAAACCTCCCTGCTAAGTCACGCTTTCTGTTCTCATGCTTGAATTTTGGCTGACGGCGCCAAACTTTCCTGATTATTTACACACTATTGGACCAGTCAGTGACTTTCTCCAGATTTGTCCTCCATGGAAGGAGGCTGAAAGTTATTCTGCTTATATAAACTGTTTAAATGCATGTTAAGACTAAACATGGGCAAAGTAAAAAACAAAACAAAACACGAGGTTAGGGGATGTACAAGTCCTCGCTCTGAGCCAAAATCCAGGATTCAGACTGCTTGAAAGGCTCCTGAGTTTTTTCTACACTGGCTCTGTGTGATGTCATAGAGGGGGGGGGAGATATCCCTAATGTGGTCAGCTCAGGCACAATAAACTCAGGGGTAGGAGTCAAAACTGCTTGTTTCAGACAGAGGATGAGCCGAGGAGGGTTCGAGCTACTCTAAAAGAGCCCAATAATGAAAGGACATAGAGCTGGCAATAAGCACAACTGATTTTCCACCACTGTCATTCACATCATAAATTCCACCTCTTACTGTTCATCTGCAAAACTGAAAAAAGTATTACAACCAAACTTTCATCAAGCAGTTTTCAGATCAAAGCTCTAAAAAAACAACAATGCTCACCGTCTGATTGGCAGCTAAAAACAGAGAAATCTCCCCGAGGAGGTGGCGGAGACTAAAACTAGGTGCCATAACAACCCAGTTTTGCTTTAGATGTTTACAGTATTTTTTTAAACTTACAGTATATATCTGACACAAGAACAGGAGAACAGAGTCTTCAGAAAGTTGCTGAACAGCATAAATGCATGTAAATGTTTCTTGTGTGCCAATTCTGAAAGTGATGGAGTCACAAAGACAAGGTGCTTCACAGCAGAGGAAACCGCTCAGTCAGATCTTCCATTTGGCGAGAGGTCGTTCAGAAAATAGTATTTGATTTTATCAAATGCTCCATATGACCAGTCATATTCAGAAGCATGACTGCGATCTTTATGGTAATGTATAGGCAGCTTGTTAATTTTTGAATCAAAATGTCTGTAAGAGCATGCTATACCTGTGGTATTTTCTTGTTGAATAAAAGCATCCCAGTAAAGCATTTCACATGTCAGGTCCTTGATGAGATTGAGTTTGACAAACTGCAGGTGTTCTGTTATAGGTTTAGTTTTCAGATTTTACATAATAAGGTGTTTTGAGACCACAGTCGTTACAAACTGTCACACAATAAAGCTGATTCATTTTTTATGGATCCTTTTGTGGATCTTCCTGAACTTAACACGCCTTTAAATTTCTTATTTTTCCTGACCAACAGTGTTGGTTCACATCACTGCAACGATGTAGTGGTATACAGCACTGTGCAAAAGTGCAAAAATACTCATCTCTTTCTGTTTTACGTCCAATTAGACAGATTTTGTTGTAATTCCTTTAAGTGGTCTTGAGCAACAGTTCTCCAGACTTTCTGAAGGTCTTTCTAAATGTTTCTTTTGATACTGGCTCCTTTTTCACTCATTTTCAGTTCAATCCTTCTACCTGGACATTTTGAGAGGATATTTTATTTGTTTTTTGTCTTTTTTTGGGGGGGGGGGGGACTTTGTCAATCATTCAAGCATAAAAAGGCAGCTAACTTAAGGATGAACAGACAACAAAGAATTGATTTAAACTGTATCTTTTGCTAGTTTAGGAATCACCTTGTTGGTATGAAAATGTCATTTATTTCTGTCAACCTGTGTTATTGTTAGCATTTTTCATAGATTCAAATAAAGAAATTGGTAAAAAAAAAAAAAAAACCAAAAACAATTATGTGTTTTTCTGACAGGCTGCTTATAATAAACTACTGTTAGCAGAAAACTTAACATATCTCAGGATGGTGTGCAGCGTATCTCTAAAAAGTTGAGGAAACTGGACAAGGGGAGGACAAAAGCAGAAGTATCAAGCCTAGCAATCATGTCCCTAAGTAAAAGGAACATAATCCAGCAAAGACCTGACACAGATCCCAAACAGATCCTAGATTTCCTAGATCCTAGTATAACAACGAAAGGCAGAAAGAAGAGCTTTGAATGTTGTTCAGGAAGCATGAAGAACTATTCCTGCAGACTACTTTCCTATTCCTGAAGAAATTATATATTTCCCTTTTTCCTAATACCATATAAGGAAATTAGGAGTATCACAAGACTTTTGCACAGTACTGCACTTTAATATGTGTCAGTACGCTGGGACTTCTCAAAGCTAATTCTGCTGATAACAAATAAATACTGAAGTCACAAAGCTCAACGAAGAGAACACGGCAAACAAATTATGTACCAAAATGTGACAGTACTTTATGAGGCAGTGGTTACATTCAACGTTTAGACTCAGAATAAAGAGACTAAATTCATTTATGACAAATCTTCACTTCAAATTACCCCACAATAGCTTTTTCTCCTGCCTCCAGTTAACACGTGACAAAGTCTCTGCACACAATCCACCACGACAAAAATACAACAGCAAAATAAAATTCCAACACTGAATAACACCTGCAACAACGTCCTCAAAAAAAAAGAAAAAGAAAAGGGAAAAAAAGAGCAACTCTTTTCCTCTAAAATGAGCGCTGGAACAGGGAGAGGGACAAAGTGCCAGATCAGAGTCATTCAGTTCATGTTTTTCAAAATAAAGGCGCACATGGAAGATGCCCTGCAGGGTTTGCTTTGGTCAAGGCTCATATCAGGACACGATTTCATAAAATAGGACAGGAAGCAGCAGGGGTCCATCTACTCAGTCTGAAAGTCGTTTTTTGTGTGAAAGTTGAGTTAGGATGGCAGAAAATTCCAGACATTTGCACATATGATTATCTGATATTACTGTATTTAGACCCCCATAGTGAGTCCACCAAAGTACAAAGTGCTGATTACGTTAAAAATGCATTTTTATATGCATACAGAACATTTAACAAACACTGGAGATACCAAAGTAACATTAACAATAATACAGATTTCTGATCGTGCACAATACTGTAACTGAAAAGCAACAGCTGGATAAGCCATGTTTTTCTTCAAAGGTGGCCTATTCTGCTTTTTCTTATTTCCTGCTATATTTATCCCATTTCAATGGTGAATGTTCATATAAAACATGGCCAAGTTTGAATTAATGCAGTTAGTATGTAAGTAATCGAAGAGCCAAACTCTGTGGCTTCAGACAGTTAAACTACTTACAAATCCAAGCTCTGCAAAGCACTCTGTAAATAACAATTAAACATGATGAAATTAGTTTTAACCTACAAAACTAATTTCAGCAAAGATGCCTTCATCAGGGAGTTACACAGGGGTCCTTCATCTGCTCAACCATCTTTTAAATAAAACTTTTATGGTCCAAAGTTTGACTTTGAGTTTGTGATTGCTGTTAAATTTCAGCTTCACATTTACCATGAAAATGAATCAGGATCTTTAATTTGGGACAGATTCATTAAAAAATGACTAATTTTGATCATCTTCAAATTGCATAATAAACTAATGGCCCAACGTTTGGACATATGAAGTGACTGCTGTGAAATTTCATCTTTATATGGCAATTACTTACTTTTAGATATTTACTTTTTTTTTTTCATTCAAATTCCCTGTTGAATCCAGCAAATATGACACGTTGTACCCTAAAAACAAAAAAATATCAGCAGCTAGTCCGGATCAAAATTTGAAAACATCAAAAATTCTGGAGCTTCCAGATGGTATTCTAATTTTTAAAAACAAGATTTTTTTTCCATTTTTGTGACTAACATTTTAATGTTAAAGAATATTTTACATTTTACTTTTCATTATTGTAAAATATAACTATATATCATTCAAAAAGTGTCACTAGTTTTCTTTTGCAATGTAAAGTTTTTTAATAGCGTGCATTCAAATATGGGGCATTTTTTTCATTTTAGCCAGCCGATACTCAGACGTTTTTTAATAACTCTGTCCCAATTTACCTGAATTGTTCTGATGGTAAGAAATACCAGCAAATATTTTAGGCTTTTATTGTTAATATTTTGAGATATTCATGTTCAAACATTGCCTCACACTTTAATGTGCGAAAAGGCCTGAAAGTGGGTAAACACACCAATAAAAAAAGATATATTAAAAAAAGATATATGTGTGTAAGACTGCATCTTCTGTTATTTTCTGAAAAAGTGAATATATTAACAGTGATTATCTCAAAAGCCTTAAAGATTATACTAAAAACAAAAGCTTATATTCAATAAGTCTTGTATAACAATATAGTCAATGACTATTTGTAAAGGTTGTGTAAAAACTGTTATGGTTTAAAATTCACTATTTGATTAGCACTCCTCATGGAGCAGTTTAAAAAAAGCTCTACAAAGCTAACACACACACACACAGTTAGAGAACATAGTGCAGCATTTAGCAGCTAAAAATACAGACATTTTCCAAAAACTGTGCTAAAAGAGTTACTTGTAATACTATACTTTTACTAACTTTTACGTTTTGAATCCTGCCTAAATGCGTTTTAGATATATATGAGATATTAGATATATTTAGCATTTAATATATTTAGATTTTTCTCTAAATGCTCTTTTTGCACATTTGAAATTGTCTTTCTGTTGAAATACATTTTTTTTTAAATTTGGTTGCATTGCTTCATTTTACATTCGGACATAAAATGAATGAGCTTCTTACTCTGTATCTACTGAGTGTGTTAAATGCTTAAAATGCTTAAATGCTGTGTTAAATTGTTTTTACAGGTTTATAGCACAGCAGTTACATATATAAAAAGTAAGCAATCATTATATGAATAAATTTGTGCGGCTTTTGAGTATTTCTGGGCTCGCTGTTGGTTTGTTTTTGATGTGTGTTTGCATCCTGTTTGGTCAATTTTTGTTTGGATTAGAACACAAAGACCAAAACTGAATAACTGAAATGACTTATTTCATTGTTTTGGATGTTTTTTAGCATCTTTGGAACCTGTTTATTGGCTGCTTTTCTTAAACTACTAAATCAAACTGAAAAAAAAAAGTGCAATATTTGAAATCTTTGCATCATTTCTGTTAGACGTTTCACCCTCACGGATGCGTGATATCCTCAAGAGCAGCCACAGTGGTCAACCACCATGGAGTGGATCTTTCCATAGATGATCTGCTCCTTGCGGTTGAAATAGAGCATGTTAATGGGTGACATCTTGGTGGGTGTGCAGCAGGGCCCAGCTGTACCCCGTGGGTTAGCCTTGTTCACCAGGTGTGCATGTGGGTACTGCTGCAGGTGCAGGAACTCACACTCCCCTGAGCAGTAGTTTGCTCGGTAGCGTTTGGGCGCGATAATCCAGTCCCACCCAAACTCCTCAAAGTCAACGGTGAGTGGGTATCTACAGCAGCGTGTCTCCACAGACTCTTCATCACAGTTGAGACCCGAGTCACGACGGGATCTCTTGAGGTTGTCGAGGATCTTGACCTCGATGAAGGGTTGCTAGGAAGGAGTTGTAAATGGAAAATTAAACAGTAATGCATAAGACAGCCTGGAAGGTTTATAGTTTATAGTGCCTAAACCTGACCACATAGTTTTTGGTGCCTCACTTTATTAAGTAATAATTTTGTTTCATTATAAAAATTATCATAGGTACTGAGCTTACTTGAAATTTAGCCAATAATTAACCATTGCTTAAGTGTAATGCATAAAAATAACTGCTACTGCAAACCAATACTTATAGAGTCATAGAGGAAATAGACTCACCAGTCCTTCCTCTCCAGGCTCTGCTGAAGTAACGGCCAGATCTTCTCCTTTGGAGTCGTAGGCGTTGATTTCTATGCCATAGTTGGTTTCTGGTTGACGCAGCCAAGCCTGCAGCAGAGACTTGATGTCGATGCTCTGCCAGGAGCCAGCACCAGCGTCAGTGTCAATTTTCAGGGAGCGAACCCGGACGCGGGTGCTGTTTCCCTCCTTGCCAGGTTTGAGGCGGGAGACCTGCAGGAAGACGGTGGTAACCACGTCAGCAGGCCGCAGGTGAACCCACAGCTGAGCGCTCAGGATGTTTTTGGGCTGAATCTTTGGACTGAGGCTGAACAGACAACAGGACAATTCGTCCTGGGCGATTGGATTGTCTAGAAGAAGTGAGTCATATAAAAACAAAAAACAAAAAAAAATGTTATGCTGTTGCATTAGAAACATTTTCACATAAACTTTTGGTTGTCATGCATGCAGACATTCACGAAAGGATATTATTATAATTATTAAAAAATATTTATTAAAACTGGAAATTCTGTTTTTGCTGTGCCACTACAATATTTTTAGTGGCCCCCCATGTGGCCACCCCTATGAAAAAATTCTGGAGGTGCCCCTGATCATTTGAACGATGTTATTCCAGTTAATGCTGTCAGTCAATTGTCTGTTTTGTCTCCTTTTCGAAAAACTAAATGAACAGATTTGGAGAAATTCTGTAGCTAGAATTTAATGGTGATTTAAGATATGAGTGGTATTAGTATGATAACTCCTTAAATGTTTCATTTGGCCTTCAATAATGGTATTTTGCATCACCATAACTTCTAAATTCATCAACTAGTTAATCTAAGATTAAAATTCTCCAGATTAAAACGACAGAAATCTGGTGCTAACCACCCCAATTGAGCATGTGAAGGCTGGGAGGCTCCCTCAAACGCTCAACACCAGTAATATCAAATACAAATCCTCGTTAAAGATAATTGTTGGTCACCTACCATTAAGATTTTATGGCTAATATAAATATAAATATAAACATCATATCATATAAACATTTACGGCCTTAAAGTCGTAGCTCAGGTCTGTTTGGTCGTTTGCGCCTCAGCAGTATCCTATTTTACTGCGCCTCTTTACGCACAGGATTTACGCACAAAAAAAGTGCAAAACTATTTATTTATTCATGTATTTATTTATTTATTTTCGGTATAAACCCCTCAGTGGTTTGTTTAGTTACGCGTTGTTGCCATTGTGATGATGGTCTCCGTGGTTGCGTGGTCTTCGTCCTCCACCCGCGGATCATACTGGTCCAGCAGCTGTGTCAGAGGAGGCGCTTTGGGGATCAGCTGGCGGATCATATCGCGGCTGATGTTGGGCGCCTGCTCCAGGCGCAGGATGCTGAGGATTTGCGACTTGATGCTGTGGAGCCTCATCTGCTTGCTGTGCTCCCGGAAGTCGCAGGCTGAACACTGCTCTCCGCTCTCCCCCAGCAACTTGGAGGTCTGGTTCATCTCCATGGCAAAACCCGAAGAGGAAAAGAAGATAACGGAAACGCTCAGGCAGAGCGAGAGGAGCATGCTGGAGAGAAGAAGTGAGCGCAGTGACGCCGTCTGATGTGAGCCTGTCCCCCCAGGACTTTATGATTGGCTGCTTTTTTTTTTTTTTTTTAGAAGTGACATTTAAAGAGGTAGGACAACTTTTCAGATGTGAAATAACGTTTGATTGAAGTGTGTTTATAACAAGGTTTAAAAATGCAAAGCGGGACAAATGAAGCAATGCCACACTACAGTGTGACATAGCCTAAACACAGAGATATAAACATCTCTAAACGTTTCAGTCATGCACACAGCTAAGTCAGCTAGCTGGATCTCTTAGAATAAGCTTTTTCTTTCTTTTCTTTTGGTAACATCAACACAGAGGGAGTTTTAAAAAGTGAATTGACAGGTGCGCATTGCATTTTCCTCTCCAAGACCTATTGTTTGTATTTTATTTTGTTTTGCCACCAGATGGCGCCGCTGACTCTGTGTCTACATTCTGAACTGCACAAACTCTCACTCTGCAGGACTCTGAAGGCACCATCACCTGCTCATGATCCATATTTACATTTTACTCGAAGTTGTTGCTTCCTGTTTGCTGAGGCTTAAAAATCACTCTCAGCTGTAAGTGTTAACTGGAAAGCTAAATCTACAGTTTAGTTTGCGCTTGTTGTTTATTAGATGACACATACAGATTGATATAACACTATGTTGTTGTTTTTATTTTAAAGAGAATCTATCCTGCTCATTTCTAGCTACACGTTTCTATTCTTGGACTCTCCTAGAGTAGCTTTGCATGAATCACAGTTCAAAATAATCCTTTTTCTTGCATTGGGCCCCAGTGTTGCCCCTCAGTTCATCCTCTGTGTGAAACCAGCTTTGTAGCTCCTCTCCCTTTAAGCCTGCAGCGTCTGCCCCATTAGTTTCTCTTTGTGTTTTTGGCCTGCAGCTGACTTTCTTCTGATTGGCTGCCCCTCACAAACAGAAGGTTTCACACAGAGCCAGAGCCGGTGCACTCACATCCTAATCCTGTTTTGTCAGGTAACTCCTGCATCTGCATCGAAGCCAAGTGTCCTGTAACGTCATTGCCATTGATGCACTGGCAGTGGCAGCATCAGCCACCCAGAAAATAACAGTCCCTGTTTAAAAGGTGTTAAAAAGTCATGATTTAGGATGAAACACACCAATTCACCAAAGTAACAAGCTGGCAGTGACAGATCCAGATCTAAATGCTCAGTTTCATACTGTTTTTTCTACTCTCTGGCCTGTATGATGTCATAGTTATTCCTAATATGGTCATCTCAGGCACAGAAGCTCCATCTGCTGCTCACACACTCTGCTAAGAAAGTTGGTTTAAAGGGCGAGGAGCTGAAACAGCTTGTTTCAGACAGAGGATGGCCCGAGGAGCTGAACCAAGGCCCAGTGTAAGATAAAGAAGGATTATTCTGAATTCATTCACCAGCTGACTCATGCAAAGCTACTATGAGTCCAAAAATAAAAGCATGGCACTGGTAATGAGCAGAATAGGTGCACTTTAAGGGCTTTCAGGGGGTAAACAGTTTGTTTTGGGTGGTGTCCAGCGATTCGCTCCTCCCACAAACCAGCAGCAGGTGGAAACTGGTTCAGCAGCCTGGTTATCAGCAGCTCTGGAGGTTGGAGAGGAACTGCAGCACAGGACAGAGGGTAACTTGAAAAAAATAATTAAATTTTCACATTTTGTAATATCACTGTGTGTTGTAGAAGACTCTTATTTTGATTTGCCACCCATGTGTGTATTTATAATGCCTTAAAATGCCTTATTTAGTCCAAAGTCTGACAGAAACTTTATATGTGACTGTGTATGAAATTTCTCACCTTTTAAAAAGGCTTGTTTTCTCCAGTGTTTCGTAGAGCCCGGTGTCTCTGGTGTTGCTGTTGTCGGATAAAGAGAGGTCGGAAGGTGATGATATCTTTCTCCAGAAAGGATAAACAGCTCTTGTTGGGTCAAACATCTCCTGGAAGTGTTTAAAACCAACATGTCTTTGTTCTGCTGACTGTTTCTGCAGACATGAAGGTCACCAGTAGAAACTCGTGCTGCTGAAGATTCAACAGCTCCATCAGCGTCTCTGTGAAATGGGATGTAACAGGTCAAGATGCTGGTTTGGAGCCCGTTCTGACAAACCGGATGAGGCCGTCACCGATGAGGCTGAGGGGTTTCTGAAGCATGCAAGCGACTCTGAAGGTGTTGCAGGCTCAGCTGACGGCAGCTTCCAGGATCCCCCTCCAGCCAGTAGAGCTCTGCTGGACTTTGCTCAGAGGATGTCGGAGGACATTGTCGCTCAGGCTCTGCATCTCTGCTGGGAGGCAGCGATCCGATACGACGAGCTGCCTTTCATTGACAGTGACGCCGATTATGTTAATGAACCAAAACATTTCTTTACTTGAAATCTGCCTGGACATCCACCCAGGCTGCATGAAACAGGTGAAGTTCAGATATTAGTTTCTGTCCACAGCAAAAATCTGAGGTGTGGATTATTTTAAGACATTACAACATGTGTCCACAAAACTTTGTACTGCAAAACAAAAACACCACTTCTGAAACCTTTAAAGTTATAGTTTAAAGAGTATAAAGGACAATTAGATTATGACCACTAAAATCTAGTTCCAGGTACATTTTACTTCATGCATTCTTATTAGAGCCATCCCGGGTTTAAAAGAAAAAATATGCACGAACAAGGCAGAGCGTCATTCAGGCTTTCATCATAAAAGGCAAAAGAAAAGAAATAAATGCATTTATCAACACATTACCTGTGTCTGAATGTCAATGCACTTTGGTGGTGATAAAAGGTAAACAGACTTAAAATATATATATATAAAGTGAATGTGACATAATTAATGTTGTTTCTCAGTACAATAAAGACATATTATTCATTGCTCAACTCATCTTGAGTAACGGATCTGGAAATTTTTTTATGCTGTTTATTTGGTCATAAATTTTCTGTTTTCCTTTTTTTTCTTTTAAATTTTGTAGAATTCAATTTGTGGGATAACAGCAGAACTATTTTTTCTTTCTTTCATTTTTAATTACACCTTATTTTACCTTATTTCAACATCAGGTGAACTACGTGTTTGTACTTTGACACTAAACTCACCTCGAGACATCTTTATCCTGGCTCCTGTCATATCTCTTACATGTGTTTTGACAACAAACAGCAGCTTCGATGTCAAGACTCAGAAACACGGTGGCACAGGGCAGGAACCAAAAGCAGGTCATGTGAAATCAGAGGATTCAACAGGAAATAAATACAGGATTTTAAAATTGAACTAACAATAGGCATGATTTCAGGCTCTGCGGTGCACGAATTCACTGAAAACTTAAATTTACTAACACCACTTAAGTAATTTATAAAACCGCCTGTTATAAAAACAGGAAACACAATTGTTTTTTAAAAATCTCTCAAATTATATTGTTTAAAACTTAAAACTTGTTAAACCAAATTCACATTTTAATACTATTATATTTTTCTGTTCGGGAATGCATTTAAATAACTGTAATTTGACATCTTAATAATTAATAATTAAAAAGAAAAACATTTTGTAAAACACTTTAAATATTCACAGATAACAACAACAATAATAGTGTAAAAAAATATCATTTCCATTAAAGAGCCTCCAAGAACATTAAAATATTATTTGTTTTTAATTTAGTAAACCTACATTGAGAGGCAAATATCATAATATTGCAGAAACAGCACATAACCATCAGAATATAATAAGAGTGAAGTAGAACAGCACATTTTATTCATTCATTATAAATGACTTCATAATTTACTGCTCTAATGTATAATAAAACACTTTAATGTTTGGTTTTCTAAAATGTCAAATGAAAATCTTCAAATATTTGTTAAAAGCTTTAAAGTAGGTGCAGCACAGTGCTGTAATGTGTGCTAATGTTTGTCTAGTGTATATATTTGAATAGCACCAGAAGGAACATGACACAGAAACTAAAACTAAAAAAGTACATCAAAATCCTACCTCGGTACAAGAAATCTACTAAGATTTGTAAACAAAACCGTAAATCACTGAATACACATTTTTATTCTTGAATAATTTCATGCTAGCAAGAAAAAAAAAACACTGAAAAAGTTGTGACAGGAGCGTATTTACCACCGTGTTATCAACCAGCTTGCTACTGTCAAATATGCCTGTATTTAGAGAAACCCTTTTATCGATTCTCCTGAATCTCATATCCAGTGCTGTGCACAAGTCCTGAGCAACCCTCCAGTTCTTTATATTTTGCTTTAAAACTTTAGAAATGAGCAGTAGTTGAGCAGACTGGATTTGAATTATCTGGACCCTGTAAATAAAGGCTGAGGTCACAGTGTGCTGGGACAGCTCCAGAGGCTGGGTTGGTATTAATGATGACTTCGAGGCCAGGATCAGGAGTGTGTTGTTAGCTGTAATGTATAAAAGAGCTATCAGAGCTACATGTGCAGTCTGTATCTGCATGTTAGCGAGCACACCGTCAGTAAAGCATCAAAGTTTTAAAAGTTGAGAAATCCGCCTCTTTCTTGTTTTCTTTCATAAGAACTGAAATTGTTGACCTTTGACCTACAAATATGAGCGTTCACCAGCTCGACCTTCTTAGAGTTTCTGTGGACATGAAAGCCCAGTGAGAGCTGAGCACACGTTGACTTCATGTTTCATATCAGCAGCCTGGGCTGTGAACATACACAGAGAGAAACACGTCTGCACTTAGAGCGTGGATTTAAAGGAGGATGTTTTAAATATTTCAGTATTTAATATGTTTAGTTTAATGTTTGAGTTGTACAAATAAGAGTACAAATAGTTACACTCTCATTTCCACACGTGATTATCTCTGTTTACTTTGTCACGCTCTGCCACCTCACCTGCGTCAGTTTGGTGGGCGGAGCCAAACCAAATCCACACGGCAACCTTAACTGACCCTGCAGCTCCACCCAGAGGTGGAGTGACAGACCTGATCGTTTGTGCCTGAGAGACCTCATCCAGGGAAATATGAACTCTGGAGCACATTCATGAAAAGATGCTTTTTTAAAAATGTTCAGTTTCCTTCACAGGTTTTTCTTTGTTGTTCTTTACTTACCCCAGAGTATCAACTGGGTCTTGTCATTTTCTTCCATGTGGCTTTTAAAGCTTTTTAGTTTTTTATTTTATTTAAATTTTATTTTGTTTTGGATTAAGGTCACTAGAGCTCATTGATTGACTATTGTACATTTTATTCAATAAAAAAAAAAAATCCAGCAACTTTTTAAAAAATTGTAGTAGTTATTCGTTATTCTATTTATGACTTGTTTTATATTTTATTGTAGTCTATATAGCATAATTTTTATTCTATTTTTTTACTTAATGTAAATGTATTAATTTATTATACTAAATTATTTTATTTCTAACTTTATTTTAATATATTATTATTATTATTATTATCATCATCATCATCATCATCATCATTATTATTATTGTATTGATTTTTTTATTTTCTCTCAGTGTAAATTAATATTTTGCTTGTTTGTTTAATTTCATTTTTATATTTTTTTTCTTTTAGTTTTTTTTTAGTTTTTGTTTTATAATATTGCATTTTATTAAGCTATTAAGGTAATCTATGTTTTTAAACTTTTTTTTTTTGACTGATTTACTGTTTTGACTTGAATTTGCAAACTTTTGCAGACCTTTGGCATATATGAAGTAATCCAGGTTAATTTTATCGTAGATATAAGTATATTCCAAAGAAGCATGAACTGCTGTCTGGCTGCACAGTTAGAGAAGCAACATACATGTCTGTAAACCTGAAAAGATCCACCATGGATTCATGAAAATACTGAGCACGGCTCTCTCTTGTTTTTCTCTTTTTGTACAAAGTTGTTCAGTAAACTTTACTATTATAAGAAAGTTGCAAAGATCCTGGCTAGAATGTTGCACTTTAAAAAAAAAA